CTCTCTTCATTTTATCTGGCTGCTATCCATAAGCCGTAACAAACTAATGAAGGTTGTCAAATTTTAGTAAACGACTCAATTAAATTATACATTTCTCAACTACATGTAGTTATTAATGGGCCATTCCACTCAATAATGATAGTAACAGATGTGCTTTCAATACTTAGCAGCAGGTAGTTTTGCCACATGCCATATGCAACCCTGCGTTGCTTTGATTATAGCTGCACAATTTGTTAGGTTATGTTTCGTATTTGTTTGAAAATGTCAAGTAATAGCTTTGTTTTAGTTAATACAATTTTAAATTTAACTCAAGTATATATGCACATAGTATATAATTGCAAGGTCAGTTGAAAGTTACATCTGTACATAAGTTTATGTTTTAGACCAATGGGACTACGAAGAGCTTAATATATATTCACTACTTTGTTTTTCCATCTACATATATCCGGGCTGTAGAAAATGTGTATAAAAGTCCCGTTTTGAGCCCCACGTCTAGAGATATTTGATTATAGCCCCATTTTTGTGGGGTCCACCATGCACCAAAAATAAAACTTTCGCTCAGACATGCTTCGACTGACTGCAAAATAATGGAAAAGCGTGTTACACGTCACAAATGTATTTTCAAAAATATTTGTGAAAATGAGTTTCAACCTGATCCTTTGAGAAATGAAATAATTTAATGCAATGGTTTTTCCATCAATTCTCCAAAGTTGCGTGTGGAATGAATATCAATTATTTGTCTTCAGAAAAATTATGAATATATTTTCTGCTATATTCCTTGTATATATAATCTTCGTGCATATAATAAAATAAGTCTAGGCGGGAATATATTTTTGAAGAACATCTGCGGATACCATTTTAATCCAAGTAAATCTCTGAAACTAAGAAACTTGCTCGGGTGGAAGCAGAAGAGGGCCAATATATACACTATGGAACGACAGAAAGTGAATATAATTATAAAGAAAACCTTTGGCATTTAAATGATATATGCCTGAAAGCAAATAGCTGCAAATAGCTCATATATACTATTATTTAATAATAAAGTAATGAGTATATGTTTTTTATTTCTGTGTTATTTGCTCCTCAATAGGCAGCTCTGTGCAGACTGTGGCAACAATGTTCGCCTGTTGCGATTCATGTGGTCGCATTGAGGGCGCCACTTTGATGTGCAGCCAGTGGCTCTGACTACGCGATGCCGTCAAAGATTTACGGCGATGCAAAAGTGGCCAGATGAGTTTTACGAGCCGCTGCATCGGAGCTGGGGCTGAGGATGAGACTGTGGGACGAAGGCGCTGCCATTTCTTGCTGCGATTCGCACATTATATGTATCGGTATTTGTATCTCGAGGCTTGTATTTGTATCTTATCTGCATCAGTGTTTGCAGCTCGCCTCGTATATCGGAGAGGTAAACAAACTCATCCGCCTGACATAATAAAAACTGCACAAAGATCTCCTCAGATTTTCATGAATGAATCTGAAAACTGAATGCCGAATACTAAATCGTCTCATTCTTATTCTCTTTCTCAGTCGCAGTCGCATTCGCATTCATTGTCGTAATGCGCTTAGGACGGGTTGACAGACTATTGCCGGCTTGGGTGCGGGCGGTGCAATTGTGACAGATACAGATATATCTATGTAGATATAAAATTTAGACTAGGCCCGAGACGGTGACGGTGGCGGGGTCAAAGACGGGACGAGTGCCATGTAAATGTAATTCAAGTAGCCGGTCGCCAGCTATCAGTGCGGCACAATCAGTGCCATTAATATGCGTATCTGTGAGATACTCTCGCTGCACTTCCGCTTCCACAGTGCCAGCCCCGCTGCCTACCTGCCTCGTTGTGACACAAAAAACGTATTAGCTGCGTTTTGGGAGTTACATCATCATCATCAGCATCGGCATTAGCATCATCCACGGCATCTTCATCAGCGCAGGCTGAGACGAAGTTGCTCCCAAAGGAAGTTCCAATTTGATACGTAAATGAACCGTGGCCCTGATTCGTCCGTGAAGTGTCCTGCTGTGGCCTCTGCCTCCCCCTTGGCACCGTTTCAAGTAGTTTCTCATGCCGGTTGCTGCTCTTATTCTTATTGTTGTAGTTGTTGTTGTTGTTGCTTCTGCCGCCTGCAATGCTACTTTGCATTTGGTCCACCCTAGGTTGCTGCTGATCTGCTTCTTGTCACTTCTATTTTTTGTTGTCGTTGTTGTTGTTGTTGAGATTTGTGACGTGGCGCTGACTGCTGCCTGTCAACCGAAATTATTTTTTGATAGCCAGTGTTGCGAGGGTAGCTACCAAACAAACAGTCCTTTTAACAAACCCCTCCCGAAGGTACTTCCTTTAGTAAAGTTTTTCGCTTTTACTTGCTTTTGTTTAACTGTTTACTTTATTCATCGTTAAGCGAACAATAGTTAAATTCTCCTTAAGCAGAGACCTTCAAACACCATTATTTATCTTTTTGCAAATATTACCGATTTGTGTCTAAAGAAAAGAAAATATATTTATAATTAAATATATCTCCATATTTTATTTTATTTTATTTTACTCTTATTAACAGTTCAAATGAAACTTATATGAAATAAATATTAATACAACTTATTCTGCAGATAAGTCTTCCAAGAGAGGATTAGCAAAAAGAAGGTGGCTACACAAGCCGATCTGAGAGATCGACTGGATGAGACCTTCGCAATCTCCTCCGCACTCGGACCCCTCCAATTCCAAGTCTTTCTAGCTTATTTAATATATCCTTTCAGCTTTCTATTTATCGTTAAGTGACAGGGCCTTGACTAGCGTTTAGCTTGCGCCAAGTACGCAGCTATTGTCGTTTTTTCTTGCGTTTTACAACACTTGTCTGTTAGGTCATGCGATTTGAACACGTGCCAGCTTTTTATTAGCCAGACAACTGCGGTAAAGGCAAGAAATTTTTTTTGAGAGCTCTCTTCAAATTTAAAAATTACAAAATGAGCGCCGACCAAGAGGAATTTGTGTTTGAGCACATTGATGGTACTTATCCGCCGCCAATTTTATATGCTGCGGAAAATTATGTACCCGAACCGTTTGATGATGGCAATGTGCCCGATGTGATGCTGGTCATGCCCGAGTTTCTGAGAGGACGCATTGATGTAGAGTCCGCCATTTTCTATCATTACTTGTTTCATGAACAAGACATAGGACCTTACATGGACTTTGCCAGAAAACGCAGACCTGGACCTCAGTGAGAATTTGCCAAAACGAAATGGAGGACATTCGCTGGGTACTTTAGAGGCTAAGATACATAAAAAACAGTCCAATATATTGTACATTGTATTTCAGATGATGTTCCGGCTTTGAACAAGTGGAGCCATTTCTTCTAGAGGTATTTGTCGGATACTTCTCTGAATCAAAGCTGTGCAAAATCAAGCTAAAGCAAACAACAAACTATTCACAAGCATCTAAGTTTCGTTTCTTTGACATTTCATTTCAATATTTTCCTGCAGTTAATCCATTAAATTAACATTTTTGCCAAAGGCGTTTTCTAGTCATTCTATTTTTTAACCTTTATCTATTTAGTTGTTGTAGTTATTGTAATACTAACAAATGCTTAAACTGGCCGAGTTAACCTCGCATGATTGCTGGCTTGTCTCATTGTATCACAACCTTCCCCCCACTTCACCCGCCTCTAACAGTCAGAGGGGGGGCTTTAAATTGTCTGTTTGCATTAAATGCATAAATTATGCAAAAGTTGATTTTCATTTTTTCTTGTAGTCATAAATTCGCTTTGATTTCGCTCCCGGATTCTGAAGTGGCAATTGTCAAATGCATAAAATATGTCCAACCAAATATATACATATTTGTTTTGACAAGACTCACACTTGCAGCCAGAAGCCAGAGGGAGAAAAGGTCGGTGAGGGAGAGAGGAGATCTGAAAGGTAGCGAACAGCTTTTCAATTTCGCTTTGTATGCATTTCATTTTTACCGTTTCGTGCGCCGATTTTCCACAATTTTCATGGTTGCCCATTTATCCCATAATGATAATGTCTGTTTTGGGTCATTTACGCTGACTTGCAACCCCCTGACGCACAGGCGAGCTGCATGCTTCTCAGTGCCTTACCTATACAGATGCCTCTTAGTGTGCCCCGAACAGCAACTACATGGAAAACCCACCCCGCGTCTATATATATATAAGTATAATGTGATGCTAGTTTCAGAAGTTTCCATTCGAATCAGAGCATGGTTGAGTATGTGATATAATTATCAGTTGTGATCCGTGTTGTTGCCCACAGCATCTTAGTTATGTAATGCCCCCCAACCCTTTGGTCATATATTTTGGGTTTTTTCGAGTCCCGAGCTTCTGCTAACACATGAAATGTTCTGAATTGAGGGACAGCATTTTTGATGTTCATAATTTTCTTGGAGGACTTTATTCAAAGAATTCCTTTCTTTTTATTTATTTTTATTTAAAGCTTTCTCCTTGTTTGTTTTTAAAGTATTTTAGAGTACTTTGTGTGAATAAATTTGCGCAAGCTACTTTAAAAGTATCTGCAATTATGCAAATCCACCTTTATGATAGGAGAATGCGCGGAAAAGGTGATCATCTGATTAGCTTTAAACACCTGTACAAATTCATTGACACACTTTCGATGTCAGATGTTGTATGTGCGAATGTTCAAGCTCAAGACCTCGATGTGCTTCACTCTAATTTGCAAAGCTTGACATCAAATTGTCAATCAATCAAATTGTTGTTTTCATACTTTTCTCCAAATTCCCATAGATTTGAAACATTTTTACAAATATCTATGTGAAGGCAATTAAAACGTGGCCTCACCCCATTGCACAAAAACGCCTCCATTCCGTGGAACTTGGAGTTCGATGTAGAAAAGGTTAAGCCTGGTCCGTGCAAAACCGGGTAAGACTCTAGTTAAGCAAATAGTTTGGGTTATTTTTTCGATTGCAAGTAGGCCTTGACAATTTTGTCTTTCGATTTCGGGCCTTGAGCTGTGTTAAAGCAGCAGAAATTCAGTTCATTTCTAAACTTTCAGGTGTTCGGACACACGTAGTTTTTATATTACCAGCATACTTTAGTTTTCTTTCTTTCTTTCGGCTGAATATTAACCTGTACCAATTTCATAAAACCAAATTAATAAGTTCTTCTAAATATTATTAACGACAAATTTGAGAAAATGGCTTTTTTAAGAAATAAGCCATCTTTGATAAACCAATTTATTTCGATTAGGACATGTGAGTATACCAAATATATATATATATATATGTATATATATGTATATATGTTTTATTATACTCCAAGGCCTGATGACATAATATGATATTTTCCGTTTAGGCACTCTTAACATGTTTTGGTATCGTAATAAGTCATTCCGCCAAATATTACCAAAATTTCCATATCCAAATGCTGAATCAATACCCCGGCATCAATTAGTGAAGCCTCGACCTCCGCCAATTTATCCGGATACTCTGGCGAACATTGTGACCAGTAAAATTGTAAAGCCCCTATCAACAAAGCCGTTGCCAACGCCCAAAGTATATGTTGAATTTTTACGTGATGACGATATGGATGACGAGGACGAGGCAATCGTAAAGTGGATAAAGACTAAAAATCCAGCGGTCTTGAAACAGGTGTCGAAGCTGATCCCGGATATTAAAGAAGCAGCCAAGCCCTCGATGACAATTTCAGAGATTCCCGCAGCAAGCTCCAGCGCCAAGTGCAGGCCAGAAATTAAAGCAGCTAGCAGCACAATATGCCTCGGAGGCAGCAGCAGCATCAACAGCAACAAAAACAACAACAACAACAACAACAACAACAACAGCAGCAGTAGCAGCAAGAGCAGCAGCAACAACAACAGCAGCAGCAACAACAACAGCAGCAGCAGCAACAACATCAGCAGTAGCAGCAAGAGCAGCAGCACCAACAACATCAGCAGTAGCAGCAACAACAGCAGCAAGAGCAGCAGCAGCAACAACAGCAGCAAGAGCAGCAGCAACATTAGCAACGTTGGCAGTAGCAGCAAGAGCAGCAGCAACATCGGCAAGAGCAGCAGCAACATCAGCAGCAGCAGCGGTAGCAGCGGTAGCAGTAGCAGCAGCAACAGTAACAGTAACAGCTCAACCAAGAATCCAGTTAGGTGGGATCAGGAGCAGCAGCAGCAATTGCATCAATTGCAGCAGCAGCAATTGCATCAATTGCAGCAGCACCAGCAGAATCATCTGCTGCGGCAGCAGTATCAGCTGCAACAGCAGCAACAGCAACAATATAAATTGCAGCAACAGCAGCATCAACCGAGGCAGCTGCACCAACAACAACAACAACAGCAGCAGCAGCAGCAGGATGAAGAGGATGAGGATGAGCGCGACCACGGGCAGCAACAGCAGCAGCAGCAGCTGAAGGCGCAGGAGCAGGAGCCTCATCAACATTATGTAGAGAAAGAACTACGTCAACGACGGCCAGAGGAAACGTATTTCGAGAGGGTATTTAAAATTCAGCACGAAAACATGCAGAGAATCCAGGAGAACGACAAAAGAATCAAGATGCATATGGACAATGTGAAAATACAAAAGCGGATACACAAGCTAATGCAGTTACAACAGCAGCTCGAAGAAATGGAGCCCATCCCCTATACTCCGCATAAGCCTAGAAACTATCAGTTTGCTCACACTAGGAATGATCGAATAGGTTCGCAGTACATCGATGAGCTGCGCCCGATGAGCACAGCCAGCTATACACATCCCGTATATTGTGCGCGCTTCAAGCATACACTATCCGATTTTGAGCCATATACCCCAGCGCACGCGGACTCCGACAATGGGGATATGATTGCCAAGAATTACAGCAAATCTGTGGTCGACGTACGTCGGAATAGAGATGTCCATCAAGAGCTAAACTCGGCTGTTAGAGAAACGAACAGGGAGTCTGCCATGTATAAATTATGTAAAGGACTCTTGGAGGTCAGAAATAAGAGTACCAAGTATTAATGGCACTCTACCCCCGACTAGCGGTAAGCTGCACTTAACTTGGAAATATTTGGCGTAAAGGTAATCAAAAGTCCCTCAGATTTTATATGTCTCGTCTATGTCTTTGAACCATTCTGTTAACACGCTTTTATGTTATAAGATACTACGTAAACACACAAACTACATTCCAAGAAAATACTCGTGTAATTCCAAACTATTAAAATGGCTAACAGCTCGTAATATCGGGGGAAATTTTCAGTCTCCTATAATAAAATATATGTCTGTCTGTCTATATAGCATATAGCTGCCATCTGTCATAAACTAACTTATTCTTGACAAAACTGGTCAATTTCAAAGTCTTATTAACATTAAATTAATATATCCTGTAGCTCAAGAGAAAGAAAAATAATTATTCCCATAATAATCGGTCGAATTGGACCAATGTATTATACATGAAAAGGATTGGCCGAAAGTTGAGTTCATGTAAGAAAATCATTTTATTTTTCCGAATATCTTAACCAATTATGGCATTTGATTGATCTTGCTCTTTATATTTGAGATAGATCCACTAAGATTACCATATCGAAAAGCTCTAAAGAATGTATTTTGCCGGAAAATTGGTGTTGCATATAAATAATGTCTACAAGGGTATTGTTTTTTCGGTTTGCTGAAGAAAGCCTCCCGCTCTTTAGGCTATATAAAAGATATTTTTAGTCGCTTATCGCAATCCTCGACTGGGCTGTTTTACGTTTTGCAACACTAAATGAAATAATTTCTAATCGCTTATCGAAATTCTTGAATGGGCTGTCAATCGTTTTGCAGCACTTGCTTCGACCACAGCGATTATTCTAATCGATTTTCAGAGAAACAAGAAATTCGTTTCAATTGACTAAAGTATATACATACATACATATGTATTTACATGCCCGACTCGGATATTTCTAGCTGATGCTGATCATGTTAAATGTATATTAAGAATGAGCTAGGATATGCCTTAAAAGGATTATTCATGCGCCCCTCTGATTGTGACTCACATTTGCACAATCGAATACCTTTATCTTTTCCAAATCTATAACTACATACATAGATATTTAATGATAACTTTTTGCAAGTGCAAAACTAATTCGTGTTCAAATGGTTGTTGGGAATCGAATTCTGTTACGGAGCCGCACCCCCTACTACGTGAGTATCAATGTCAGCGGCAACACGCCCGCTTGGAAGCGAGCATTGTGTGTTCTTTCTACTGTTGAGAAAGTCTTTTGCCGTTTGACATGTCAACTAATCTAACGCGCCAGATGACCTCGTTGCGCCAACGGCAAAGGAAAGCAGCAACCCTTAACACACACATGAACTCGGCAGCATTCAGAGGCAAACGGCAAGAGCTAATAGCTCAATCTCGCACACACACGCACACACAGACACACACACACAGATATCGGGGCCATATAATTAGTGTAATTACCTCAACAGCCTACTAAATTCGAGAAAAATGCAAACAAAAATTAAGAAATCACAACATTTATATCCCCCTGTCAACGAGGCAATGAGGCAATGAATCCACAAGGCTGCTTGCAACAAAAGGAAACTCTATGCCCAATCAATGGGTGTGTGTGTATGTCTCTCTCTCTCTCTCTGTGTGCGTGTGTGTGTGTGTGTGTGTGTGTGTTGGACCCTTTTTGGCATCGGCCAACTGGCAAACAATTGAGTCGGACATCGACAGGCAGGCAGCATCTAATGACAGGGTGGATTGCAATTTTTCGTTTTAATTTTGAGTTCAGGGCGAGAAATACAGAAATTTTCGCAGTTGTGTTGCATTGTTGGGCGCAGGCTGTCAAGATCCGTTATAAATTGCAGTGGCTGCCACTTCCGCCTCAAGTCTCGGCTAATTGTGCCATACACACACACACACACACTCTCGCATGATTTGGCAAAATAGAGGAGAAGCGACTCATTAGTCAGTCAACAAAATGTTGCCACATTCCAGCGAAGACCACCAGCCTTTTGGCTTATCATCCTGGCCGCTTGTTTATTGCTCCTTTTGTCGCCTGGCTGCGCGTTTACATGGAATCTTGGCGGCGCATCCTTTGATTGCCCCTGCCGCTCACTTGCTGAAAATATTTTGGCTACTGTGCGGCACACACATAATTAACGCCTAATGATAATATTTTGCCCAGCGCATCCTGACAAGCACAAGCCATGGAATGCACAAAGAATACAAGTCGTTTACTCGGGGGAATACATTGGCACAACTCTATTTGGTACGAGTTTTCTTTTCTTTTTTTTTTGTCTAATCGGATTTTCCTTTACAAGAATATAACTAACATTTTGCTGAGCAGTTCAAATCTTTAACAATTTTGCAAAACATAAATGAGCATGAATATTTAAAATAAATATTTAATATACCACATTTATTCTAAGACTTAAATTATTAGATAAACATGGTCCAGAAACAATATTATGCATTTTCGTTATACGCGAAGCGTATTTATATATACATATATAATAAATAAATATAAATATATTATATATATATAATAATATATGTATATATAAATATATAAATAAATAAATAATTTTTTAATTAAACTTTGGTTTTTCTTGTTTTAAACCTACATAGATAAAATCTCGACATAATCTCCTATTTAAGTAGTTCGGGAATTCATGACATGTATGTTTCGACTATATGGGAGGTATTCAAACAATTAAAATACCGCCATACATATTTGTCTTGGGGTAATTCATATACATATATATATTTTGTTGGGATACTTATAATAAAACCAGTACGAGGTTCTAGTCGAGAGCTCCCGACTAGGGGATGCCCTGAACCCTCTTCTTTCAACAGGCGATAGGTATAAAATGAAAAATACTTGATATATAAATACTTTTCTACAAGCTACATGGCAAGTTTGGTGACTCTAGCTCATATTATTTGCCGAAATTGCTCAAAACACAGGATTTCGATATCGGTTTTTATCGATTACTTGGAAACGGGTCAAGTTATCGACTATCGGAAACAAACTAGTACTAGGACCTACAGCTAAAATTTCAAGTCTCTAGTTCTTGTAGGTTCTGAGATCCTTGCGTTCATACATATGGACAGACGGACATGGCTAGATTGACCCGACTATTGATGCTGATCAAGAATATATATACTTTAAGGGGTCGGAGATGCTTCCTTCTGCCTGTTACACACATTTGCACAAATATATAATACCCCTTTTACCCATTTTCAATGGGTTCAGGTTATAAAAATATATGCATCAGGGCATAAAAGAGTTTTTAGTTAATCTAGAATGCAATTATTTATTATTTTTAATTTGATTATTATTATAAATATTTATATTATTTTTTTTCATTATTATTATAATTATTTTTATTATTGTTGTTTTTACTATTGTAATTATTATTAAAATTATTCTTAGCATTATTATGTGAATATTCTTATTACTCTACTTCTTATAATTACTTTTATTCTTATTTGTATTATTCTTATTAATAATGCTTTTATTATTAATATAACTATAGTTTTAGCTATACTTTATTATGTAGTTTAGAACAATTTTAAGATCTTTTTAATAGCACTGGCGTCTATGGCTCTACTCTAAGATATTATTACAACCAAACTCTAGCCTGGAGCTCGAACCCAAATCTTGGTTTAGTTGCATACTAAAATACAATTTCGTAAATTACCCAAATCTTTGCCACACAGTAGTAAAAAGCAAAATATAATTATTTCATTGGACATTTTCTCGTCATAGTAAAGTGAACAGATACCGATATTTTGTTCGGCTCAACCGAAAGGCCGAAATTTCTGCTTTTCACCAATTTCCAGGTTACATAATCTCCGTTGCGATCCCTATCGTAAATTCGCCTGCACGCGTCATAAAATTGTTGGCTTGCTTTTTAAGGAAAACACAACGGAAAAAAGGAAACTTAAAACAATGCAACTCGAGCTAAAACATAATAAAATAAAATATAAAAAAAAACAGTAAAAAATGATGCAAATGGTCTTCGCAGTTTTACGTAATACTCAGGACTACGCGGATTCTCTTCTGCTGTTTTTTCTTTCTCGCATATTTCTTGGACATTTTTTACGCTCGCGTTTGATGCAACTTTGCTGCGTTTTGTGTTTTTTATGACACGGCCGCGCAGCGCGCACCTCCATTTGTGGCAGCCCTTTGTTAGCGGTTCCTTAATTTTGTTGCGTCCAGTTTTATGAGCCAGTGGAACTTCTAGTTGCGTGCAGTTTTCTTCTTTTTGATGTTGTTCAGTTTTTTAGGTTGACACGCGGCGGTTGCGGATTCGCGGAAAGAACACCGCACGGCTTTTATGGCTTACGTAATATTGCGATCCCGGCGAGGAACGCCGGGCTTCGCTGTAACTATTATCGAGCCAGCCCGTGGCCAGACAAGAGCGGAGCAGCCGCAACAGCTGTGGCAAGAAAAGCGCATTGATGCTGCACAATGTCCTGGACAATGTCCTGGACAACTAAACAACTGGACACGCACACATATATAAAGCGTAATGCACACACACACACACAAGCACATACGTGTACGTACATGTACTCGCACACACGGGTTACAATTGGCACTCCAGTTTTTGGCTTCCGGGGTGGCCTCAGCCTCAGCCTCAGCCGCAGGCTGCTGCTGCTGCTCATCTATTGACTTTGTGTCAAATTGAGTTATTCAAATGTCAGGACTCGCACACATTCGCACACACACACACAAAGCTACACGCACATGGGCACATTTTGATAATGCGCTTTGGTACATAATTCTCAATTGATATCCTGTTGCGTTGTTTTTACAAAATATTTACCTTTCTCATAATTGAAGTGTCTGTGCCGAGTGACGTGCCACATCCTTTAGCATCCTGGCGTGCAATTTTTCAGCCATTTGTGCATGCTCCGCTACCCCGCTAGTCCTGCCTCCCTCTCTCTCTGTCTTGGTCTCGCTCTGGCTTTGCAGAATTTGAGACTTGCTGCCGCTCCTGCCTTTTCACGCTTCTCCGCACGCTGCTGCCCCGCGGCCTTGTGGCAAATGGCCTCCAGCATCTTGCACAGCGGACGCACTGCACCCTGCTGCCCCGTAGTGCCCGCTGAAACGGCCGCTGCTGCTGCTGCTGATTATGTTGTCGCCGTTGAGCCGAGTCGAGTGCGCGCTGCACTTGCCGCACGGGCAAAGTCTCCCGTCGTTCGACCCCGTAAATGAGAAACGCTCCTTGGGTTGCCTTAG